CTTTTAACTAAAGGCCATCAGTTACACAGCTGACTCATGTAACATGCAAATAACTAAATTCTGCTTTATGTATTTTACTAGCAAATACAACTAGCATAGTTCATTCTTCAGCTGACATGCATTATGAGATGCTTTGGAAATCACCAGATCTGGGGGTTTTTAAGCCTCAGAATCAACTTCCAGTCTCGTTTTTTCTTTTCTTCATGTTCCATCAGCCATGATAACTGATGAGCCACCATTAAAATAAAATGGAACAAAACCCTTCAGCAGCCCGCTAGAACAGAGGCAGGCAGTCTGGCCTGTGGGCCGGATTCATGCCACAGTGAACTCCATTTCCCAGCAGCCTCTGCCCATGTTGCTATGGCCAGTTTCCCTGGTGACCCCAGGAGGGACAGGGCCCTGACAGTGTGGGGCCGGGGTTTCCACAGAAACTGGCTCCAGCAGCACTGGCAGGGTGCACACATGGACAGGGAGCTGCTCTGGCGCTGGGGCCAAGATACTGCAGCCGTGACAGCATGGTCCAAAGCCATGGCAGAGCTGCGATCCACAGCCCACACACCCTGGGCAGGTAGCAGATCTCAGCTCTGCCCCTGCTCCAGACCATGCTGTCACAGGCACAAAATCCTGGTCCCGGCCCCGGCCCTGGCCCCGGCCCCGGCCCCAGCCCCAGCTGAATGCCCTGCCACAGCTGCTGGAGTGAGTCTCTGTGGAAACTCCGACCCTGTGCTGCCATGACCCTGCCTCTCCAGTAGCATATTTGCATGCTTTTTTAGTGACACTTAATGCACAATAGAATATTTTACTGTGCATTAGTGTAATGACATTTTTTTTACATTACATTAATGCATAGTAAAATAGTCTACTGCTTATTAAACTGCACATGTAGACGTGCCCACATTGGCCTAACTATTTAGTTCCCTTCCCACTCACCCCTGGCCCATAGGCCAGTATTTCAATTAAAGCAAACTACTATGTAAATACAAACTATTCCATGTTGCAGGATTATACATCATTCCTGTGCTTAAAGCCACAGCCAGGTCTATTCACTTCCTGTGTTAAGCATACACTTATAATATTAATGCAGTGGTTCTCAATCTGTTTAAACTCAAGGCATCCCTCATTCAGCTTGAGGCAGCTTGTTAGACTCAAGGCACTCAAAGAACAATGGCTCTTACTTTTCACTTGGTTACTGACCACAGAAAAAAACCCAACCAGAACAGTTCTTCTATTGCAAAGAACTCAGAAAGGCCACAACAGATCAGAATCGCAACAGAACACTGTGCCCTCCCGAAAGCAACTGAAAAGCTTGGGATTATGATAAGCAATCATCACTTCCTGATTTTAGCTCACTACTGCAGGTACATCCGTAACTCTACATTATTGTTGTGGCTGGGATGCTGGATATCTTAAAAACACTTCCCACATCCCACAGAGCAAAGCTCCAGTCACTCCCACCTAAGTCTTTCCTATGCAACACTCCTTGTTTCAGACGACTGGCTCTGGAAGGGCAGTGGCTAGTAACCTGCTAAGTGCTCCAGTGCAAGGAAGCCAGCTCATTGTGCATAGCTGCTCTCTCATGGGTTTGGGCTGGGGTCCAGGGACTCGAGACTTTCATGGCAGGGTGGAGAAGTGGGCCTGTCTCCTGTTAGAAAAGCTTATGCTCTCTCTTTTTCTATAGATCACACACACACACACACACACTATACGTAAATATAAATATATAGAGATGCACCTTACAGACTAAGAAAATAAGAGGTGTATATCCCTGTCTATGTATATATACACACACATACAAGTTTCTCTTGATTTGTACAGGGTCTGTGTATGTGAATTCGCTCTTATGCGAAGAGCATTTTTAGACCCATAATTCGTTATATGCAAGGTAAATTCGCTCAAGTGTGATTGGCATAGGCGCCCCGCCAACCCAAGCAGGTAAGTCTGTGGGGAGAAGGGAAAGGGCCATGAGGCCAGGGCCCTACTCACCCCAGCCCCTATTGCAGCAGCCCAGGGAATGGCCAGCACCATATTCCACCTGTCCCCACCCTCCTGGGCTCCACCTATCCCCACTCAACCCAGTTCCTGGGCTGCGCCCTGCCGTGGTGCAGGCTGCTGGTGTTGGCTGCTCTTGGAACTGGTGCAGCAGGGGCTAGGGTGAATGTGGACAAGCAGAGCCCTGGGCAGCACAGGGGGTGGCACAGCTTGTCCACACTCACCCCAGGCCCCTGCTGCAGCAGCCACAGGAGCAGCCAGTGCCAGCTGCAGAGGGAACTGTCAGTGGGGGGGTGGGGAGTTGCCTCTTGCTGCTCCACATGCCCTGGGAGGGCTGCGGGCTGGGGGACTGTGCCAGGCTCTTCCTGGGGGGCATGTACCCCCAAATCTTCATGTGGGACAACAGCAGGCTGCTGCAGGCTGGAGCTAGCGGTGGCACTGGGCTCTTCCCGGTGCTTGGGGCAGGCTATGCCAAGTGCCAGGAAAAGCCCAATGCTGCCACCAGTCCTAGCCTGCAGTGGCAGCCTGCTGTCATCCTGTGTGCAGATCCAGGGGTAGTATGCATACCCTCTAGATGTGTATGCACAAACATACTACATGCTAGAGAATGTGCACTGTATTATATACATGTATATATCTCTCTCTCTATATATATACATATAGACAGGAGATGAGGGCATTACATACAGGGTGTTGTATCTTTATATCCGGCGTGCGTGCGTATCAAGAGCTCTTACTTCCTCAGCCTGTAAAGGTGCATCTCTCCCCTGCCTTCGGCACAGCGAGGAGCTGGCCCGGGGCAGCTCCCTCTCCCCTGTCTCGGGAGCACCTGGGCCCGGACCCCGCGCTGCAGGACGAGCGCCGCCCCGGCCCGGCGTGGGGGGATTGAGTCGGAGCGGGGCGGGGCAGCCCCCAGCGCCGCGCGGGCCCCGCACGTACCCACTCGTTAGCGCGGTGCCCGAAGGTGTAGAGCGCCACCTGGCTGGCCACGTCCACGATGCTGCTGATGTAGGGGTCGTGCTGCTGCAGCGCCGCCAGGCTGATGTCCAGCCCCTTGCCCAGCAAGGCGGCCCCCGCCGCCGCCGCCATTTTGCCCCCGACCACAACACAGAGCGCGGAGTAGGGCAGAGCAATCCAGTGCCGAGACGCAGATCGACCCCGTCTGCGTCCCTCCCCCCTCTGCCCCCAACGCTTAGCAAAAGAAACAAGTGGGCGCGGGCTGGAAAATCGAGCGCCGAGTCCGGGCGGCTCAGGATTGTTGCTATTAGCAACAAGGAGACGAGCTCGCCCAGGGCCTGGCTGGGGCTGTGCACGCTGACGGGGAAGGGGCATGGCATGGCATGGCATGGCGTTGCTGGGGACACGCAGGTGGCCGCATAGAGCTGTGTTTTGGGGGTTGAACCAGTAGGGCTACAGCCCTTTTCATGTGAAAGCCAAATGATAGTATTACGGCAGCCCCTGGGGCTTCACTGGGAACCAGCAAATCCTTTCAGGCCTGCAGGGGGGTGTGAGCCTAGGTTCTGTTGTCCCAGCACGGCCTGTGCCTTGCGCACCTCTAAGCATATCCCACTGTATTCGGGCCCAGGACAAGGGACACAAGCTGCATGCATACTCAGTGATGTACGTACAGGCAGAGACATGGCTCCCAGCACCAACACCTGCGAGGTATCCACACAGGACAGGAAATGCAGCCCAGCCTGTGCCCAGCAATATGTAGTGTGCAGCCACCTAGACATATTTGTGAATACGCGCAGAAAGCAGGCAGGAAATTTCCTTTGGCCCCTGTTACACATTACATTTATTATGTGATTCATGCAATTAATTTAGATGGGTCACAAGTGCATTGTCATCATCGTACAATTGACTGGTTAATCATGCAATACATTTAGACAGGCTGCATGTACAAAGTAATTATTGCACAACAAAAGTGACTGTCCGGCTAAAATGAGCCACCCAGTGATGAAGTTAGTGCTGGAACATGTATAACAAGTCTATAGCTGGGTTCTATCCAGCTTTAATTTGAATGTGTAGCAGGGACATTAGTGTCACAGTTTTATTTCCCGTACAAAATTTAGCCAATAGGGAAATACACCATTCATCCTTTTTCATGACAACAATGAGAAATAAATGCCTCTCAGCTCTGTGCACAATGCAGAGAAATCTGGATGTATTCAGTTTCCTCTGAAAGATTCAGTTGCCAATGTAGCCTAAGTTCCCTTTAGGGTCACATTGTTTTAAACTCCTGATTTCGTCTGGTCATGCGATAGTATCATGACAGCTTGTTACAGCAGTTCAGGGAGGAAGTGCCATGCATTGAAAGATGGACAATATATTTATCTCAGGGCAGGGAATGGGATTGGATACTCTGGAATTGCTCCAAGGGAAGGAAGATGGTTCAGTTCATGGTAAACAAGGGACACTGAAAATGCACTGCAAAATGATAAGTAGGAAGGATGACAATTAGGCAATCCTGGCTGCTTGTGGCAAGAAGTTCCACCCAATTCTTTTTGCTAACTAAACCCACCTGGATGCCCTCAATCAGAATCTCTCCTGGCATGACTGTCCTTTCCTGGCCATCAGCAACAAAACTCTACCACCGTGATTCTCAGCTAGGGTGCCAGGGCACCCCTGGATAAAGCAATATCCTTTGAAGGGTACATCAAGGTGTGAGGAGATAAACAGAGATAGGCACAGGCTGAACCTCTTTGCCGCCTGGCCACTGATGTGTCCTTACTGTCCAGCCCCTATTCAAGGAGGTAAGCACTATAATAAGTTAACTTTTGAAATGGGGTGCCACTCAGTTCACAAAAGTTACGAAGTTATTATTCTATTTAAGGGTGCCTTGAGTCTAGAGGAATTCCTTATATCTAGAAAAGTTGAGAACTGGCTTAACACCTACGCTAAACCCTCCCACACGTCTAACACCAATTTGTCTTCAGAGAGTCATGAAAGGATCATAGGCAGACAAGGGTCTTTGGATAAATCCAATATCTTTTATTAGACCAACTCAAATAGTTGGAAACATTCTTTTCAAGCTTTCGAGTACAATTACCCTTCATCAGGTAATCAAAGGGTAATTGTACTCAAAAACTTGCAAAGAAGAATGTTTCCAACTATCTGAGTTGATTTAATAAAAGATACCAAATTTACCCAAGGAACCTTGTCTACCTATGTGCTTAGACCAGCACAGATACATCCTACATCCATGAAAGGATCATGTCGTCTTAGTCTGATCTATGCAGCTGGTCCACTCTTGTACCCCAGCTACCACCAAGAATAAAACTATTTAAGAAAGGTTTCCCACTTTCTGCATTGTACAATATGGTCCATTTAACTCAAGAATATATTAGTGAGATTTGTTTTTAAAGGAGTGTTCACTTAAAGTTTCATCTTTGCTCATTTACAATTTGGCTTTTAGGTGATGGTGTGAGTCTGATGTTATATGCACTTTTAAAACAGTTTAAAGCAGATGCAGACAAGCAATTAAGGTAAGAGAATGTATGAAAACAGAACTTAGTAAGATGCCTTACAGTTCCTAGAAGTCAAATAGTTTCTGTTGCTGCCCCTTTCCCCTGAATGAGCAGTTAAAGTAGACAGAATTTGGGGCTTTGCAAGTTTGGTTCATTAAGAGAAAAACTAATAATGCAAGTTAAGTATGTTCTTTTCAGCAATCCTGTTCATTTACCAGGAAGGGCCAAAATATCTCATTTCCCTGAATATAATAAGATATAGAAGCAAGCACCTTGCTTGCTCAGAAATTCTCAAATCTGCCTTTCCAGTCTGTTCTGTGCTCAAGAGTTTTGGTCTCTGTTCCTTTTCACAGTCATATTCATGCGTACTTTCCTCTGGATTTCTGTCTCTTGTATCCACCGCTTTATAAGCAGTCCCTTAGTCTTTGTATTTGCAATCTGGGAACTTGTTGGACCACAAAATGTAGCTTCTGATCAGGCATTGCAAGGTATCTCATTGCCTTGGGTGGTGGCTCTGGATGTTTCCAACTATATGACAATGCATAGGGACTTAATTGCTGCCTACGTTTAGCCTGGAACACCTTTCAGCTTTAACCATATCTGTGATTTTCTATAGAACAAAGGCTTACTTGTTGATCATCATTAAACACTTTCCAGCATAGTCCTGTTTAAAACAAAATCTTGTAGGTACAGAACCTTGTGAATTCTCACTTCATTACTAAAAAGTTACACAACTTGCCAGCAAAAATTTTATCCAAAAAGTTTGCTTAACTGATTTACAATATCAATAATTTAGTGCTCTCAAGACAAGTTAACATGGTTTTGTGGCAATTTGTTTGAGGCCAGTTCATGTTTTAGCTTTGAAAAGATCAAAGTATAGAAGAGTGTCATAGCTGTATCACCCATTCACTTTGATACTATTCTATTGCTAAATCATGTTTATGATAGTTTTAGAGGAATTTTAATCAGCTTCTATCCCAAACCAATCTAAATCAAAATCCACACACTGTGTAGTCAAATGTATCTCTTCTGGCAAACAGCAACATGACAGAGTTCAGTCCAAGCCTCCTCTCTAGGCTTGGCTGCATCTAGCATTGCTTCTTTAGGATTGCTCAGTCCTAAAATTATGGTGTTCTTTGCTTCAGATTTGAGTTGTCTTGGGTATACACATTCCAACCCTGTCCTGAACTTTGTTCAGTACAGTTAATGCCATCTGAGACAATGGTTTAAAAACATGACTACCAAACTCAAATTCAACCTGGCCAATTTTATTCTCAAGTTATAAAAAAAAAAATGCGAGTAAAAGATTCAACACAATTTGGGGAGGGGTGAGAAAGACACTGCCCCGGTGGTATTTGGAAGACCTTTGGGGGGGGATGTCTGTTTACTTACAGAAGTGGAATATTCTTTGGTGCAATGGGTTTTGAAACTCAGATGATGTACACACTGAGTATAAAATGATCAGCTACAATAATCACAGCTTGTTCTGGATTTTCTGTAGAATTTTTCCATGGAGGAAAGTTGTCAAACCAAGAACATCTTTCTTGCTTTGCACATTTTGGCAAATACGTTATGCTGCAATAATTTAAAACTTTTTCTTTAGCAGAATATTCATTTTTGAGAAGCTCAGTATCATATTTCCTATAGACAAGCTTCTGTCTAAAGGCTTGTCTGTATGGGAAAGTTTAATCAGTTATACTAATACAATTATGCCAGGTATACTTATACCAGTATAAACTCCTACATGAATACTTTCTCCTGCTTAAATTTCTCATCAACTGTTATAAGATGAATCTGGGGGGAAGCACTGAAATTAGAGCATCATACTGAAATTAGAGAATCTGCATGTCTCTCTCAGAATGCTTCTCCAGACCAGCCACCATACCCTATCTTTTGCCTGACTTCAGGCTAACATGGCTGTCTCTGAGCCTATGTGGGATATAACAGAATAATTGTGTTGGTTTAAATTCACACCTTGTAAGGTAGACCCACACCTCCCTCAAAAAATCCAAACAAGCAACACAGCCATGAGTAGCACATCCAACACACTCGCCAAACCCCCACAACTTTCCTGTGTAAATGAGACCATGGTTTACTGCTTATTGCTTGTTAAATTCCTTCCTGATTTTTAGTTCTGCTCTGCAGGTATTATGCAACTAGGATTAAAGCTATAAACAAATCAGATCTTTATCAGAGACTCTTTTAGCTCTCCAAAATCCAAGTTTTAAGTTCTGTTAAATATTAATGCATTGTTGTATCTAGTAAGTGGACACAATTTATGAATTGATTTCTTTGATATATTAATTGTTGGGGCGTAATAGCCATCAAATCTCTGAAAAATCACATGCAGATTATTTTTTTCAACCTTTCCAGAGATGAAGGTATTACTGTATAAACAGGCAATGCTATTTCCCCTCCAGTATACCTAGAAACAAAGATGTCAAACTTCTGTGGCTTTTCCTCAAGCTGTGTAACATTATATTAGTAAGAAATCATTGAATTTCTATACAGCTCAACTGTATTTTCTAAGAGGTATAGGTGTACTATCTCTTTTGTTTTCCTGGAGTTAAACTTCTAGCGTAACCATCTGTATGTAGTCTAAGGAGACAACCATGTTGGATTTTTTTATGC